TTGCATGGATGGATCCTTGATGCATCTTTTAAAGTGATATTTTAAAAATAAGATCTTCCTAAATTAAAGTGAGATTAGATCTATTAAAATAAGTAGGATCTTCTTTTGAAATATCATTTAAAAGACCCTTTAAATTTTTATTCAGCCTAATTTTTTTCTAAAGAGACCCCAAAAGAAACTTTTAAAATGCATTTCTGTTAATTTAGATATGCATGATGGACAGGTGCTTGAAACTGCTTTTGAAAGTGATCTTTTAACCCTTTCAATCACAAATTATTTGTGCCTGTTTTTCCAGGCTCTTTTTGCAGGAATACATTTTTGTAATCTCAAGCCCTATGGAATTTAACCTCAAATTTCAATACTTCTTGACAAAATTATGACATGGCAATAGACAATTTATTAGTTGTCTTGGTGGATCACCTGCTTCAGGACTGATTTTATTATACCTCATGAATGAATTGATGGATAATGTGGGGTAAAAAAAAAAGTCTAGTCCCTGTGCCAAATTGAGTACAGGGTGAGTGAAAGGGTTAAAAGAATCTTTTACCACCCTGCCAGCCTTGGTATTTGCAGGGTTTAAGGCAAGAAGGTGTTGTGCCATTAATACATCCTTTTAAGAAAGTGATGGAAGTTGGTAAAGTTCAGGGATATACACTTGTCCAGATAAAACATGAGGAGAGTCCTGAAGCCATGTATTTTTTTAATGGGAAGCTCTCCAGTTTTTTATCATGACAGGTCTCAGGGGGCATAATGATTTTGATGCAGTTTTAGCATTACATCTACTTGCTTGAGGCCCTGCAACAATGCATCTTCTATGACATCTCCAAATAGAAAATGGTATTTCATCCACAAAAATTTATTGAGGATGATTGCTTGCACTTGCGGTATTTGTTTAAAAATGTAACACCTATCATAATTTGCTATCACACCTACTTTTTCTTTTGCTATTGGATGTTGCCAATCTTTCAAGTGCCAACACTTAAACATGGAAGTGAGTTCATTATTTATTTTGCTGTCCAACATATCTCTTATGCAGAGGGCTTGTGATGCTCACTCAGAGAAAGGATCAAAATCAGATTATTCATTTCTTGGAGGATAAGGGTTTTTGGACTGAGGGGATTTCTGGACAGGGATGATTTTGAATTTCTCTGAAGGATTACACTCAAAGCCCTGTTTCAGCACTCCTGGAAATGCAGACATGTCTCTCTTTGGTGCTATACCATTCTATTTCTAATGCAAGACAATTATATCATGTGTGAGCACTACATTTGCTCAATGCAGTAGTAGCTCTGCAACCATTCCACTTGCAAAGATGGTTGTGCCAGAATTATTGTCTGATGTCAAAATAAATTTCATGAATAATCGTGCCAACTGCTTTCTCAGGCCAGACTGCGTTTGTATGCCTGTCACATGGAGAATCACTTTTCGTTTGTTTGTTTTTGTTTTTTGCACTTCCTGAAAACTGGACAAAAATGCGCCATATTTTTAATAAAGGATTCCACATGCCCCTATAAACTCTATAATTTATTGAACTACATATTCAGGAATGCTACTTTTTCCATTCATGACATATATACATGAATATGAGACCCTTATACCTAAAGATTTGACTTTATATATTGTACTAATTGTAGAATTGGTTTAATGCCATGAGTACAAAATGTAACCAACTTTTTTAGTATTTTACTTTTCCTGCTGACACTGCTCAGTCAAGGGAATGCTTAATCAAGCCATGAATGCATGATTAATTTCCCATTTGCTTCTTTCATTTCAGAGGCTGCCATCTCTTTGAAAAATTCAAAGTGATATTAGAGCAAGGGATCTTCATTAGGTTAAAAGGCACAATGTACACAAATTGGCACATAGTCCATTGGCAGAAATTGGAACATAAACAGATTACATGGGCAATTGCCTTGTGAACAATGCCACGAGTGAATGGACCCTCTTGACAAGTAATGACTGATCACATGACATGTATCTGCCTCAGGCATTCAAACACATGCCCCATAGAGTGTTACCATGACCTGCTCCTTTTCTACAGGAGTCTTATCAAGTCAACCCATGGTCTATACATTTAATGTTCTAACGTGTGCATTCTCAGACTGAAAAATGTTTCTAGTTCAGGCAAAAGTCTATTGTATTGTCTATAAATGTACTTGTATTCACTACTTTTAATTAACTGGCATTGAATGTAGAAGCTGAGTGTTATCCTTAAGCAATGACTCTCCATACCCTACCTGTAATGAAAACTCAGAATGGGTGTAAAAAGCCAAATGTCCTTTTAAACAAATTCTACACAATTTTGCAAAGCAATATGTCTAAACATGAGATTCACTTGGCATGCTTTGACTATAAACAGAGTCCCATGATATACACTGCACTAACATGAGTGAGCAGCTATTTTTATGCTCCAACAGGGTTCAAAGAACATGAAAAAATATTTAGGGAAGCCACTTTTGAAATGAAAATCTACTTTGAAATAAAACTTTGGCAACTTTGGACATGAAATTGGTTTGTTTGACTTCCTGGGTCACCTCAAAGGAGAAACAACACATGAAACGCAACGGTAACTTCCAGTGGTGTAAGGTTACATGGTCATTACTTTCATTGAATGTCACTACATGAACAAGTACACCGAAGATACAATGCTTGGCTGCAATATTCTGAAGGTGCTGGTAGCTTAGAAGGAACTTTCACTAACTGGGCTGGGCCCAAGGCAGGGGAGGGGAGGGGGTACTCCTTTGGTTCATTCAGCACGAATACCTATTGAATGGTAAAATCTAAACACCAGAAACATCCTATTTCTTGCATCTCAATAATGATTCTTCTTTTGCCATGACTGACACATTGAAAAGCAAATGAAAATATCATTTTACATTTTCATTTAGTATGAAGTTCTGTGAGTAATGACTATCTTTCTCATCATTTGCTTTGTGGCCTTTTTTGGGAATCATCTTGAATCCAAAATATGATGAGAAAAAGGGCAGAGGACTTGACTAAGATGATGGAGCTAGATTAGCTTAGCTAAGTGCCTAAATGATTGCCTAACATATGGACAGTTCCCCAGGCCCCCCTCAAAAAAACAATGTATCAAGATTAAAAGATTTGTAAAAATGGAAATCTTCAATACACTCCCACATTTCCCATCTTTCTAATAACCTAATCCAAGCGATGTGATAGTTATTTCATTCTATTAGCCTGGTCTTCCTCAAGTTCTTGCAGATCACTGTAGCAAAAACCATACATTGATTCCTTCAAAACTTGGAAAAGGTCAGAATTTAAAACTCAGTATCTGGGATATGATTCCCATTCATAATTCTCAAAAAGCACACAAGGTTGGCTTTATAGGCATTGTCATGGAGGATGATTCATCACAAGCAACTCTGTATTCTTTTTTCAAAGTGTTGGTCTCAAATGAGTGCACACACTTCACAATATTTCTTATTGTACTCTTTATCAACAGTCTGATCTGAATGTGGACCATAGATCTAGAAAAAAAAAAGCACTCCCAGGTTGCTTGTGACATCTCTTTTGAGTCTCCCAGATAATAACCTCTTTTAGGTTTGAAGAAATCAATGTGCTACAGTGGCCAGCAAGAACTTGAGGCCCTGGCCACACAAAATAAGGAGATCTAGAAGTATCTAGCTTAAAGAATTCAATAACTGCCATTCTTGGAATTTGGTTGTTAGATTAGTGAATATATTGCAGGTTTCCATTATTAGACATTTCTGAATCTCAATACCTTGCATTTTATCAAGGGGGCTGGGCACTTTCCAAAGACCCACATAGGTTGCTCAGTTTGTCATGTGAATAACATCAATAAATGTTTAGGAGGTTTGATAATGTATTTAAAAAGAATCAAGAATCTGATGACATGCACTTCTTTAAACAAAAGTGGACAAAGAAGCATGTGTTGAATAACATGTGTTATGAGAAACCTAATAGAATATACCTGCTTCTGAAGGTATGTGAATAACAGTGGAGTGATCACTAATTTAAAAATTGGGTATATAAATGGCACTATGATTTAAGTTTAAGTCAAAATCTTAAGTGTGGGGAACTAACCCATGTTGGAAAGAATGTAAGTTAGCAGAGTTTCAAGACAATCAGTTACCAAGCTGTCTTCAAAAGCAATAAAATAATCATCCTGGGAAGATGTGAGCTCTTCCATTCAGAGAAGGAAAGTTGCTCTCTTGGTCCATATGGTCATAGAATGGTTTTATTTATAGGGGTCAGAGTTTGAGTCCTCAAAAAATGTCCTCTCTCCAGTAAACAGACTGCATAGCTATACCATCTAAGCTGGTATGGCAGATCTAGATTTGAGGAGAAAATCCACATGCAGGCCTACCTACAATTTTGCATCTTCCTGAAGTAACAGTAAGTTGCAATTTTTTCATTTACAAAATGGGTAATATATTCGTGGCTCAGATGAGATATTGAGATGTTTCATTTCTACTTTGAGGGGACATGACACAACATTCATTGAAATTTATTACCAGTCTCCTCTCGCAACATTTTTTCTCGATGAGATCAATATTGCACAAGGGTCAGATCACAATTCACAGGATGACAACACAGCACAAATAAAATAATGTGAAAAGCCACAGGGACCCCTAGAAAACATGAAATGTGGAGTTCTAATGAAGAGGAATGTTTGCAACATAGCTTCACAGAAAAACAATAAAAAAAGACAGCAAAAATAATGTTCAAACTGTCCACCACTTGCAATTCTTGAAACAGAGGCCTCTATGAAATACTGAATGTTTCCATATCACTGACTACACATAACAGTCTTGGTAAACTTTCAGGCTCCAACAATCTACCAGTAGGTATACTGCATTTATGCATATATGTGGCAGTCAACAATATCCCCACCTTTCAGCAGAATGAAGAAGCAGCATGCTAAGGGAAAGTGATAACTGACTAGATCCATTCAAAGTAAGCAGAGGTAGAACTGATCCAATGCTCCTTCCTTGAAATGACTTGCTATGAAGCCAGCCCTAAACATCATCTCGGTCTGGTGAGTACTGCACCAGAGTGTTGCTTAAAGTTTCAGTCAGCTTCAATGAAGAAGTAACCAGGATGCGACGACCCATCAAGTCCAACGGAGCGCCGGCAGTGTCACAGACAATACCACCTGCCTCAGTCACAATCAGGGCTCCAGCAGCAATATCCCAGACATGGACACCAAAACTGGAGTAGGCATCACAGGCACCCTGGGCCACCATGCACACCTGCAATGCTGCTGATCCTAATAATCGAACACCATGAACTTGCGAGATTAGATTTGCAAAATTTGCCTGTACGCATTTCATCTTCTCTGGATCACGGCCAGTGCCAATTTCAATGAAGATCAAAGCCTGTGACAGATCTTCTTGACCTGACACTTGCAGTTTTTCACCATTGAGAAAGGATCCCTTGCCTATCCGAGCCGAGTATTTCAATTCTAGTATGGGATTGTAAACTATTCCCAAGACAGGCTGCCTTTGAACAACCAAGGCAATAGAGACAGCTATGAATGGAAAGCCATGAACAAAGTTCATGGTGCCATCCACTGGATCAATGATCCAAGTTGGTTCATCTGTCAGTTGACATTTTGCTCCTCCAGCAGTGCTCTCCTCTCCAATAAACTTGTGGGTTGGAAAGAGCTCTGCTAACCGGGCTTTCAGCACCATTTCTACCTTCTGATCAGTTTCAGTCACCAGGTCAACATTTGAAGACTTTGTCTTGATCCTCTTTTCTTTTGAGAAAGCCTCTCTAATTATTCTTCCAGCTTCATCAGCCAATTCCATGAGAGTAGTCTCTGCAAGATCCAGATCCAGGTGATCCATGACTCAGAAGGGATTGAGAAAGAGAGCTCACTTCAATGGCAACAGCCCAATGGATTTTGCACTGCAAATGTCCTAAAACAGATATGAGTTTTGGAAAATTTATGAACATTGCAGAATCAACAAATGATAATCATTAATGAGGAATTTAGACCTATCATATTGGTATAGGAGATCAATTGATAAAGGGTTCTAGATGAATAAGGTTCTGTTTTCATCAATCTATTTTGAAAAATGATAATAAGGTTAAGAACAGAGCTGGCCCCTAATGCAGGCACTAAGTAATTAGCAACACTTGGAAAGTACCCTTAGAAAGGTAACGCAGAAGCTAACTTGGAAACTTTTTAATTGTAATTAATCACCAAGAAATGGTACAATTAATCCAATTATAGAAATGGTCTTGGGGGCATGAACTCTTACTGGAGTGCCATTCCCTATAATAAACTGTAAATAAGCCTGCCAAAGCCTTGCCCTTGTCTCAAACCTATTGCTTTTTGAAATGGAAGGGAAGGTGAAAACATAATTATGAAAAAAGTATCATTTTCTACTCTTTGCAGACTAGGAGTGATCCTTGTTAGGTCTGGATAAATCACAGGCAGAGAACAGATTCTTGGGCCCACTCTTAGTATGGCATAATAGCAAGCAGTGACATACAGAAAAATGAGGGGAGGGAAGGGGAAGTGACTGCTTACCCCTATGATATTCTAAGATTGACATGCATTTTGACATACAGAATAACCTATTAAAGAAGAACACCCATATCTTGTTTATAACACAAGGTTGAGTGGACTTTCGCTAAACAAAGACTCGCAGAAAACTAGACGTCAATAGTTAATCAACGAGACATAAATATCGAGTGTCAGAATTTGAGTTCATCGTCTTCAAAAAAATAAATTACTTTGCAAATGTTTATCCAAATGATATAGGAAAGTGCTTCTGCTGCCTGCAAGGACTGATTTCAAAACTGCAGTCCAGTCACAGTTCAGTTCCAGTTTTAGTTCATTCGCAGTTCCAGTTGGGATTTTGATATATGAATATTCGCTTAGACCACAGTGGAACTAGTCAGACTTTAGTCTGAACTAAAACTAGAACTGAACTGCCGTTTTGAAATCAACCTTGGAATGCCAGACATAGCTTATTCCAAAGCTATATCCATCATTCCTAGATGGGTCAGGTCAAGGCCTATAGGCCCTTCCCTGCATTCATGTCATGATCTTCCTCTCTTCATTGCTTCTTATTGTAACCTTGTCTATGAGTCCACTATTGAATGAATGCATGGGTATGCTGACAATCTCATAGTAGGCCACAGATAAGAGAATGACTCCATACCACCTGATACTTTTGCATATTTCTTAGATACATATAAACAGGTGTGGTTTTTCTCCCACAAAGGATGCAATAATAGGCTTATGGAACACTTGTTAAAGGTGACATGAATCAGTTTTATGACCTGCTTTTCTACCCTGGCTTTTCCTTGTTTTTCTGAGTGGGCCTATCTTTATTAATGCTATTGTCCTTCATAGAAGTGCTAAGTTCATGCATCTTGCTCCTCTTTAATGGATAGGACATATGGATACATAATAATACTGTATGGCACTTTCAAGTCAAGGGTGTTGGGACAGGGCGTGGAAGGAGGTGACCTATGCTTCAGCATGAAAAAGGTTACAGGCAATGTAAAGCAGGGCTTACTTCACCTGGGAGGGTGGTTCATATAGATGGAGAAAGCTGCCATACTACGTCCAGAATGACAAAACTTGGCATATGTGAGATTTGATATAGTCCTAAAACTCTAATTTTAGTATTAGTCTTATGTAATAAATCTCTGTAGTGACTGATTATTGTTCATCAACTTGTGTTCATTAACATGCAAAATTAAAAATATTCATCAAATTAAATTATATAGACCTCATATAAATACAGGAAGCTACAATGATCCAAGATGAATATTTAACAAAATTAGGATTGCTTTTATGATACTGTTGACTTCCTCTTCACATCCACCCAATTGTACAATAATTATTAAACATTTTGTTAAGCAATATGTCTTGTCAGCTAGAACATCTATATTATGGGCCAAACTTGACAATGTTTCAGTTGGTGGGATGACTGGAGCTCCTCTTAGTTGTTAGCAATCACATTCTTTAAGATGACAAATTATTTCTGGGGTCTGCAAAAGAGACAGACTATCTGAGAATATGAAGCCCATAGCTTCCAATCAAGCAATGTTTAGGAAAGATAAGCCAATCCTCATACCTGACAGTGGAATTCTTAGGAACGCAACCAAGTGAGGGATAGAAGAGAGGGGGGCCTCATTCCCCCCTTAATGTTTATTTTTCCATTCCATAGCAACACCCACTCACTCTTCCATCTGGCATGGCAACCACCTCCTCATTGGATACACCACTGGTTACCAGGGTGGGCCTTGATCTCCTTCCAAATCCCCCCCTCCTTTGGAATTAGTTGGATGCACCTCCAGGAAATGTGGATTTTGATTATAATCCTAATGATTCTGACATGTAATCATACAATTATTAATTTCAGTTTCTTTCTGTACTTTCACTCTCACATGCTAGGGCTGCCATCTTACAAAGAACAAGCTGATTTCCTATCTACTATCAAAGTGCTGAAAGGTTTGGTTTTGCCATTTAAAACTTCTGAAAGTGGTACTTTTGAGGATACACAAGGCTTCCAAGTTCCACTCCCTCTTCAACTGAGAAAATAAATTTTAACATATCTGATTTTCTATATCCAAATTTGTTACCTTTTACCTGTGAGCTTCAAAATTTTGTTGACCTATTCTCTATGAAATAAAGATTAATTCAAATGACACAGAAGTTGAAAACTGCCACTTCATAGTCAAGATTTATGCAAGCACACAAGTTCAGGAGTTGCTTTGTTAATAGTTATACTTTCAATATTAAGTTCTCTCTTCCCTCACATGCTACTTGCTTCCGAGGTAAGACAATTTTCAGGATTAGAATTCCAGAAACTTTAAAGAAATTCAACATGCAGACCTTTAAATATCTCAACATCAAAATATATTGATGTGAACAAGAAAAACCCAAATTGAAATAACATTATCCTTTAAAACAATGCTACCATGTTGCATTCAAAAGAATGGAAAAAATTGCTAGTTTGGAACAAAATATTTCATATCTCCAGCAAAAACTTTCACTTTTTGCAGTTAATTTTGTAAGTGCCAGTTTGAAGAACAAGGCAGTGATGCACAACCTCTGGCCCAAATGTTTTCTCCTTCCAACTAAATGTGGAGAAGATCATCTTGGAAAAGCAGTGCCCAAAGTCTCCTTACGAAACAGTATTAGCAGATGCAACCTTAAGAAGTATCTCCAGCCCACACACACAAGTCACAACCTCAATTATATCCTGTGAGCCAGTGATGCAAACATCACTGGCTTACAGCTAAATCCTGTTACATGTTGACCCAAATGAACAGCATGCATTACAGGCTTGGGCTTAACAAGGAAAAAGGCATAAGATTCCATGTCAACATCATTTATGGATAACCTCATGTAATTATTCACTACACACAAGCCACAATCACAAACTCCACATTTGGAGAAGACAATTCCACTCCACGTAAGTTCGTTAGGCCTGAAATAATTGTCAACATTTGGTTCTAGCCTACGATCCTGCCGTCCCCAAAGCGAGAATTTAGAAGTCAGCATCGGCTCCCCTCAGCATCCTTTACCGCCCATCTGCTAATCCTCGCCGATGAGCCAAAGCACGCCACCGAAGCCTGCCCCTTAAAGCGCCAGGCTCGATGACAACTTTAATCCGCGGAAGAGTCCAGATTCTGGCAATTATGGTATTTTTCCTGTCGAGTTCGACCTTTCCTTCTGGCGACTCCGACACCGACGCATCCGAGTCCCCAAAGCTAGGCCTAGAAGGTCGACACCCTCAAAGAAAAAAGAAACCAAAAACCTACTCCCACCGCGAACACCACAAAACCCCTCGCAAACCAGACCCAAATCGCTACAAACGAACGAACACCCGAGAGCCACCAAAAGTGCAGCGAGCAAGCGGCTGGAGCACGCAGCCATGAAGCCACAGTGATGCGCGATCGTTGATATCGAGTGGACCAGCCCCGCTCTCATACGGGATTCTCCTCCACGTCAAATCCATTTTTTTTCCCCCGACCTTGCAGGTCCTCACATCGAACCTTGCAGGTCCTCACATCGGACCTTGCAGGTCCTCACTTAAGTGGCCTCTCACTCCTCTCTATTCGTCACCGACTTTTTTCCCTTTCGCGACGCAAATAGGTCAGGTGACATTTCTTCTCGTGGCGAGGTCGAGCGCGAAACGAAAACGAGAATAGAAAGGCGAATGGAAGCGCGCCAAACCGATCGCTAATTAGGCTTCCCGCAACTACAGGGTGCCCCAGAACTTCCGCCAACATTCTCGACCGAAGCATCGCTCTGTCGCAGGCAGAATTGCCGCAGCGACATCCAGAAAGCATCCACACGGCCCGGCCTCTCTCGCCCGCGCGACGCGGGAGCCGCTCGCGGTGCCGCCGGTGACAGAAAATGAGACTTTTCGATATTTTCCCCCCGGAAATTGGCATTTCGCAGAACCTAAACGGGCGGAAATGGCGGAATTCGCTTCTTCCGAGGCCAAAAATCTCGCGATTCTCGCGCCAGAAAAATACAGAAAACGCTGTTACGCTAGAAAATCGATTTTGCTAAATGCTAAAATACTGCTAAAATTAGCAACAAAAAAAAACTTTACAAAATCTTTTAGCATTTTAAATGCTAAAATTTAATCGCAAAATATTGAAGAACGATGCGGAGGGCAGTACTACCAAAGCTCTACTAGTACTAGGAAAGTACTAGACCTGGTACTTGAATTACTCCTTC